GTCAGAGACTGGGAGAAACTAATTACAAAGACACATCTGTTAAGGACTTAGGATACAAAAAATTCTTAAAACTCAAAAGTTATCTTGTGGAAGTTGACAAATTGATTCTAAGTTCATATAGAATGACAAAAGATCCAGAATAGTCAACATAACATAATATTGAAGGGTAAGACAAAGTTGGTGGACAAGTGCTTCTCAACTTGAAGACACATCAGAGAGCTGCAGTAATCAAGACAATGTGGCATTGGTGAAGAACAGACAAATAGATAAATGAAACAGAATAGAAAGCCCCAAATAGATGCCCATAACTATAGGCGAAGTCTTTGACAATCAAGCAAAGGCAATGCATTGGAACTAAGATAGTCTCTGCAACACATGGTATTGGGACAACTGGACATCCTCATGGAAAAAAAAGGAAATTAAACACAGAACTTAGATCATTAAAAAAAAAATCAGTTCAAAATGGATCAGAGACTGAAATGCAAAATGCAATACCGTAAAATCACTATAAAATAATATAAAACTTAAGTGACCATGAGTATGGTGATGCTTTTTTGCACACAACACCTAAAACTTGATCCATGAAAGAAATGATAAGCTGACTTTCATTAACATTAAAATCTCCTGCTCTATTAAGGACAATGTTGAGAGAATAAGACAAAACACAATGGGAGAAAATATTTGCAAAAAACACATCTAATAAAGAACTGTTATCCAAAATATACAATGAAGTCTTAAAACTTAAGATAGAAAACAATATGTATAAAAATGGGCCAAAGATCTTAGCAGACAGCTCAGAAGATGTAGAGATGGCAAGTAATATATGAAAAGAAACCACACATTATATGTCATCAGGGAAATGCAAATTAAAACAAACAACACCCATTAGAATGACCAAAATATGAAATTTGACAACACTAAGTATTAGTGATGATGTGATACAAAAGGAATTCTCATTCACTGCTGGTAGGAATTACGGTTCATCCTCTTTGGAAGACAATTGGGTATTTTCTTACAAAACTAAACACATTCTTACCATATACTCCAGCAATCATACTCTTGGTATTTACCCAAAGGAGTTAAATATGTTTGTCTACCGAGAAGCCTTTAAACAGGTGTACATAGCAGTTTTATTCATCATTGTCAAAACTGGGAAGCACCAAAATGTCCCTGAGTAGGTGAGTAGATGAATGAACTGTGGTACATTCAGACAAGGCAATATTATTCCGTGCTAAAAGATATGAAGTATGCACCCATGAAAAAACATGGAAGTACCTTAAAAGCATATTACTAAATGAAAAAGGTCAATTTGAAGAAGCTATATACTATACAATTCCAATTATATGAATGACATAATAGAAAAGGCAGAACTGTGGAGACAGCAAAAAGATCTGTGGTTGTTAGGAAGAGATGGGCTATGGAGAGATGAATAGGCAGAGCTCAGAGGATTTTAAGGGGAGTGGAAATACTCTGTATGATTCCATAATGGATATCTTTCATTTTACATTTGTTCAAACCTATAAAATGTATAACCAAGAGTGAACCCTAATGTAAACTATGGACTTTGGATGATTGCAATGTGTAAAATTACATTCATCAATTAGAACAAATTTACCATGCTGGTAGGGAATGTTAATGATGGAGGAGGCTCTTCATGTGTGGGAGCAGTTGTTACATGGGAAATCTCTGTAAATTTCTCTATATTTTGTTCTAAACCTAAAAGTGCTCTACAAAATAAAGTGTTAAAAAATGTTTTTAAGAGCAATGGCCAGTGTGGGTAAGTGGTCTCCCGAAACTGAAAGGTGTGGGTTTGATGTTTCTCTCTCCTCCTTCTTTCTGTAGAAGCAATGAAACACTGTCCACAGGTGAGGATAACTTTTTTTTTAATATTTGTAAAAGATAGGCTGATTTTTCCTCTCCCCAAATTATGCCAAGTAGGTCCTCCTATTTACCTTTCTGTTGATGGGGAAAATAGGAGGACATCCATGGTTCTCTCTCCTTTCGAAAAGGACTGTCACTTTCTAGAATACAAGGTCAGTGGGGGAAAAGACCAACCATTGTTAATATAATGAGAATGGTTTGTGAGACATCTATGCAACCTGGCAGCCAAGGAGATTGGACTGGAACGTGTACGTGTGAACAATGATGACTTCACTGTACTAGTCATTGGAGGCAGTAGACCTCTTTTAAGTGAGTGTGTGTTCTGTATGGCCATCACATTCAAAATTACTGAGCAAGTAGGGCAATGAATATGCGTGACATTTTATGTTAAGCTTGAACATTCCTCTGTGGAAACTATTGGGATGACTCAGAAGGCCATAACTTTGGGCAACTGATGATTGGTAGCTTCATCACAACTCGTACACTCAACACATCAAGTCTCATATAGAGTTTCTAGGCAAACCATTAAATCACCCATGTGACTCAGTCCTCCTACATCCCAGATTTGGTGTCCTGTGACTTCTGGCTTTTCCCAAAACTAAAATCACCTTTGAAAGGGAAGAGATTTCAGACTGTCAATGAGATTCATCAAAAATACAACAGGGCAGCTGATGGCAATTGGGACAACTGTGTGAGTTTCCTAACGTGCCTACTTTGAAGGGGACTGAGGCATCATTGTCCTAGGTACGATGTTTCTTGTACCTTGTATCTTCAATAAGTGTCTTTCTTTTTCATAGTATATGGCTGGATACTTTCTAGGCAGATCTCGTCTAGTTCCTTTAAGTTTACTTGCATTCTCGGTGTTATGATATTTTAAAAAACATATATGATTTATAGCTTATCCAGCTTATTTAATGGTTAGGGTGAGAATGACGGTCTTTGTAACTTTTTATATCTATACCAGAAGCACTGTTTATAAACATTGAAACACAACAAAAATATGTTATATTTATCCACAGATATACAATTTCTGTTGCTTTTCATCCATTTATAAATATTCAAGATACCATCTGATATAATTTTCTTCTGAGGAGAATTTCTTTATATTTTTGTATAGTACAATTCTACTTGTGGTGAGTTTTTCAGTTTGTTTCAAGTATTTTTATTTTATTTTTTTCTTTTATGAATGGATAAATCAACATCCAAGTTGACAGACTTTCCTTTTTCTTGAAGCTCTTCAGAGATACTTTTTATTATTTTCCATCTTGCTTTATTTCTGAAGAGAAGTCAGTGAGAAGTCAGACATTAATTTTATTTTATTCACCTATCATCTTGTAATATGTCTTATTTATGTGACTGCTTTTAAGATTTTTTTCTTTTTCTTTGGTTATCTTCAATATAATTATGATGTGTGTTGCTGTGGGTTTTTTTTTTTATTATTATTTTGAGCTTAGGTTAATGGATTGCTGGAGCTTTTTATCACTAATTTGAAAAAAATTTTCCATTAATTTGCAAACAAATTTTTACCTTACAGCCTTCTTCCAATATTGCAATTATATGTATGTTTGACTTCTTAATATTTTTTACACAGGTTGCTGATCCTTTGTTCAAATTTATTTTTATCTTTTTCTCTTTTAATCAATGTTTCATAATCGTTAGTACTTACTCCCTTGTCTCTACTTAGAGATTTCTGGAGTTCTGGTAACTTGCCTTTCTGGTTCTCTGCCTCCTATGTTCAAGCCACCTGATTCTGTGCTCCCATTTCTTGTCTCTTCTATAAATAAGACTGTTGATGCCTTGCCTTTTGTGCTGTGGATTAGAAGGTGTCTCCAGGAATGATGATAGGATTCATTTTTTTTTAATTCACTTTTATCAAGGATCACAGTTCTGTGCATCCATTTTTCTGATGACTGAAAACTATAGTTTTATATCTTTTTGTACTTTTTCCACTTATTTTAGAAAGGCTGGTTTAGTACTAGTCATTCCATCATGAACAGAAAGTAAAACTCTATTTCATTTGTTGAAAATGGCAATTCTTATTTATTAAAACCACATTCAATATGGCATAAAATAGGCAAAAAGTAAATTGAACCAATAAGAATATGTTTTACTTAGAAAAATGGGTGAATTATTTCTGGAGTAACTCCATATTAGTGTTGGTTTAATTAAAAATTTAAATAATTTATCCAGCTATTTTCCCTTTTGGCCTTTGCAACTAAATGTAACTTATGTGAACTTTTAATCATACAGGTTAGTATTTTTATTTTTGAGCATTAATTTCAAGAGCAAATACTTAAGATCAAACAGGAGAATGAAACTGTCAGTATTTTTCAAATTAAATGAATAAATGTAAATGCATTAAGATTTTAAGAAAAAGAAAATTTAATATATATCTTTTTGGACTCATTTTTAAGTGATAACTACTTTCCATAAATTATCTTAAAAAATCTACACTTATATCAAATAAATTTTTTAATGTTTGGAACATTTGTGGTAAAATTTTAGCATTTTTATTTTTGAGAATATGATTCTGTATTAATGTTAGAATGTGAAGGTTGTAATATGTTCAAGAGAGTTTGTAATGATGAATAAAATTTAGTAAAACATTACTTTCAAATATAATGCCACAAGGTTAACAGCGACAAATATTGTCTCTTATTTACTACCGAGGCTAGTAAATTGAAATACTTGCAAATCTTTACATGTGTCTTTAGGCTTTTGAACTTACGTTTGGGGTTTATGAAGAGTTTTCCAGAACTCCTACACTCCATTGTGGGCTAAATATCTCTTTTTTGTGCATCCATGGAGTTCCTGGCCATGCCTCAAAAATAGTGCTTAATTTACAGAATTGTGATAATCTATTGCCTTCTTTTCCTTGTTTGATTTTACATCCCACAGGGCCATGAATGGTATATTTCTCATCTTAGTGTCCACTATACCCTCCAATTCAGAGTAGATATTTTATGCTTGTTAAATAAACAAATGAATAAAGTGTTCTGTATTTCAATTTGGATTAAAAAGAAAGATTTTTGTGCTAGGAATATGAACTTTGGCCAAATGATTGACTATTAACTCTACATTTTGTGTCTTTTCTTACAGGCTCTTAAATCTGATCTACAATGGAAAAATTCCTTTTTTATCTGTTTTTCATTGGCATAGCAGTGAGAGCTCAGATCTGTCCAAAGCGTTGTGTCTGTCAGATTTTGTCTCCTAATCTTGCAACCCTTTGTGCCAAGAAAGGGCTTTTATTTGTCCCACCAAACATTGACAGAAGAACTGTGGAACTGCGGTTGGCAGACAATTTTGTTACAAATATCAAAAGGAAAGATTTTGCCAATATGACCAGCTTGGTGGACCTGACTCTGTCCAGGAATACAATAAGTTTTATTACACCTCATGCTTTTGCTGACTTACGAAATTTGAGGGCATTGCATTTGAATAGCAACAGATTGACTAAAATTACAAATGATATGTTCAGTGGGCTTTCCAACCTCCATCATTTGATATTGAACAATAATCAGCTCACTTTAATTTCATCTACAGCATTTGATGATGTCTTTGCCCTTGAGGAGCTGGATCTGTCCTATAACAATTTAGAAACAATCCCTTGGGATGCTGTTGAGAAGATGGTTAGCTTGCACACCCTTAGTTTGGATCACAACATGATCGATAACATTCCTAAGGGGACTTTCTCCCACTTGCACAAGATGACTCGACTAGATGTAACATCAAATAAATTGCAGAAGCTGCCACCTGACCCTCTCTTTCAGCGAGCTCAGGTACTAGTGACCTCAGGAATCATAAACCCATCTACTTTTGCATTAAGTTTTGGTGGAAACCCTTTGCATTGCAATTGTGAATTGTTATGGTTGAGGCGTCTGTCCAGAGAAGATGACCTGGAGACTTGTGCTTCTCCAGCACTTTTAACTGGTCGTTATTTTTGGTCAATTCCTGAGGAAGAGTTTTTGTGTGAGCCTCCTCTCATTACTCGTCATACACACGAGATGAGAGTCCTGGAGGGTCAAAGGGCAACCCTGAGGTGCAAAGCCAGAGGAGACCCTGAACCTGCAATTCACTGGATTTCTCCTGAAGGGAAGCTGATTTCAAATGCAACAAGATCTCTGGTGTATGATAATGGAACACTTGACATTGTTATAACAACTGTAAAGGATACAGGTGCTTTTACCTGCATTGCTTCCAATCCTGCAGGGGAAGCAACACAAACAGTGGATCTTCATATAATTAAGCTCCCTCACTTACTAAACAGTACAAACCACATCCATGAGCCTGATCCTGGTTCTTCAGATATCTCAACGTCTACTAAGTCAGGCTCTAATGCAAGCAGTAGTAATGGTGATACTAAAATGAGTCAAGATAAGATTGTGGTGGCAGAAGCAACATCGTCTACGGCATTACTTAAATTTAATTTTCAAAGAAATATCCCTGGCATACGTATGTTTCAAATCCAGTACAATGGTACTTATGATGACACCCTTGTTTACAGGTAAGAAAAATTAAGCAAATCTTTATACTTACCATGCATTTTAGCATAAGGCTTGTTAAGGTACTCTGATCATTTGTCATTACAGCATTCCTCTGTATTGTAATTATAGTATTCCATTTGTAAAGTGTATTATGTAAGCCTTGTGAAAGATGAGTACATGTGGGGAACTGTTTTGAATGGTGTTATTTTTAGAGACTTCAAATTTCTATGTAATATTATGCTTTCCCCCCCCCCCACCTAAGAGATGTGACTATCAGAGAAAAAGATTGATTTATTTTAAAAATTCAAAAACATACCAGAACTTACACATCCATATGAGTGTTCTTTCCTTCAAGGAAGTCATGTTGGGAGGCTATACCATTATCCCAATGATGCTGCCATTGCTCAAAATACTTTCGGAATTATCTGTAGAACCTTCGCCATACTATTTTGAATATCCTCAGTGGTGGCAAATCATCGTCTTTTGAGGGTGAATTTGAATTTTGGAAACAAGCAAAAGCCATTTGGAGCCAAGTCTTGTGAATAAGGTGGGTGATCAAGATGGGTATTACCATTTTTGGCCAAAGCTATGATGTAACTATAAAATAATGAGACTGATATTTTGAGTGATTGATTTCTGTGCATGTGTGTTGTCCCATATACACTGGTTCTTAAGGCAGTTCCAAAAAGAAACTATAAATATTTTGAGCAGCGAGAGTATCACTGGAGTTAAGTGTGTAATCTCCTGTAAGGACATTGATGGAGATTTTGCGTCTGACTAAAGAATTTCTGGTATGTTTTTCTAAAGTTCAGCCTCATTGATTTATAGTCACATCTTGTCCAATTTTCAGTTGAAAATATACTTGTCTACCCCTCCATATAATTTCAGTTATGATAGATTCTTTTTAATCCTGGAAGTGATGCAAAATCATGGCTTTGAAATAAATGTATGTGTGTATATGTGTATATATATGTATATACACACATTATATATATATTTGTCTTTTGTAAAATTAGGTTAACTCAGTATATATATACCTATGTGAGTTCTTGAAGACAATTTCATTTTCACTCATGTATAGAAATGAGATAATTTTTTTAAAGTGAGTGTGAGCTGGTAGGAAAAAACAAAACTGGCCCAGCTAGCCACCTGATCAATCCTGGGCAAGGTCCTACCTAGCTGAGTTTTAATTTTCTCATCTTTAAAAGGAACAGATTGGAGTAAATGGTCTCTAACATCTCTCTTATTACTAAATGTATGTTATGTAGACTATGATGCATGTATATTAACACAAAGCAGTTTTCATCCTGTTATACTCAGCTTTTCACCTGGGCAATGGGTTATTTAACACACTGTGAAAGACAAGCACCCACCTCTAGCCTCTTACCTTCCTGTAGCTACTACATATTCTACATATTTTAGACATTAATCCTGTGAAATAGGTTAGTTTCTATTTTCTAAATTCGAAGACTTTAATCCGGCCATGACAAGTAAATTCTATGTAACTTTGAGGAAGTAGCTTGAATTCCAGATCCTAATGTTATGTATAAAATTGTGGTAATGCTTATCTCATACAGTCATTGTAAAAATTAAATTATAATGTACATACAATGCTTAGTAATGTCTGGCATTTATCATCATGCACTAAATGGCAGTGATCTCAATCACAAATAACATACTCTGACCTAAGAGTTTCCTGATACATTTAGACAGTATTGTTTAGGTTATATAACAGATTAGCATTGTCAAGTTTTTTAAAAAACTGTGTTTCAAGGTGAAAATAGAGTTTCAAACTTTTTTCCATAATAAATATTAGTTTAGATCATAGTTTAATTTGCTACTGAAAAAAAAAGTTAGTGGAAAATAGGCCCCCACAGAAGACTTTTGTGATATAATTGATTCAGAGATATCTATAAACTCATCAAATTTTAGAAACTGTTTTGAAAATAACTACATCATCCCTCAATGGGAGGACAAGGGATTTATGCTCTCCTTGGCCAATAGCCTTGCCCTATTCATGTTTATAGGATAGTATTACTTGTACACTTTCATCCAACTCATATATAGGTAAAGAACGTACAGTGAACTAAGTGTTGAAGGTTTAAGGGGGGATTGAGATCAAGAAATAAAATACTTTAATCTTTGTAATTATCTTAGATTTTAAAGATAGTTTTACTGGGTACCATTCCATGGTAGCTTAATGCCGATTTGGAAAATAAATACTCTAAAGTTTATTTCCATTCCGGTTTCTAATGTGATTGTCAGTGTTTTCCTTTCCTTCAAATTGGCTTTTAGTCACAGAGGTGTTATAAGTGCTAAATGGATTTGTTTAGTAGTCAGATAATGTCATAGTCACACCTTTCAAATGCAATATGTCATAAATGGTTTTTTAGAAGTGGCTTTTATTAGGCGTTCTGCTTTGCCAAGCAATGTAATTAGTAAGTTTGTCAAAGTCATGGTGCAGGCACCCTTAATATAATGCAGAATCCAACAGTAATTTTTAGCCATTTTTCCTGGGTAAATATACAATTAGATAAATTTCCCCATATTTCATATCTGTTAATATTGAGCTTATCTGAATGAATACTGAAATGAAACAGAACTAAAGTCACAATGATTCTGTGTAAATATATGCTTTGTTTTGTTTATAATATTAACACAATTCCATTGTCCCTCAGAATGATACCTCCTACGAGCAAAACTTTTCTTGTCAATAACCTGGCTGCTGGAACCATGTATGACTTGTGTGTCTTGGCAATATATGATGATGGCATCACTTCCCTCACTGCCACAAGAGTCGTGGGTTGCATCCAGTTTACTACGGAACAGGATTACGTGCGATGCCATTTTATGCAGTCCCAGTTTTTGGGAGGCACCATGATTATTATTATTGGCGGAATAATTGTAGCATCCGTGCTAGTTTTCATCATCATTCTCATGATCCGGTATAAGGTTTGTAACAACAATGGGCAACACAAGGTCACCAAGGTCAGCAATGTCTACTCTCAAACTAATGGGGCTCAAATGCAAGGCTGCAGTGTAACGTTGCCCCAGTCCATGTCCAAACAAGCTGTGGGACATGAAGAGAATGCTCAGTGTTGTAAAGTTGCCAATGACAATGTGATGCAATCTTCAGAAATTTGTTCAAGTCAGGACCCCTCTACCACTACCTCTGCTTTGCCTCCTACCTGGACTTCAAGCACTTCTGTGTCCCAAAAGCAGAAAAGAAAGACAGGCACAAAGCCAAGTACCGAACCACAGAATGAAGCAGTCACGAATGTTGAGTCCCAAAACACTAACAGGAACAACTCAACTGCATTGCAGTTAGCTAGTCAACCTCCTGATTCTGTCACAGAGGGGCCCACATCTAAAAGAGCACATTCAAAGCCAAGTAAGTTTCTCACTTTGCCTGCCGAGAGACCCAGAGCAAGGCACAGGTACTTCCTGAATGGAGAATTAAAGCAATGCTTTTGTTATATTAACTCACCGAGCACATGTGGACTACTTTATAAAAGAAGCATGTCTATGAATGGGATGTTAATTCAGCCCAACCGTTCTGATGGGCATAGTGGAAAAGCAACTCTTTCAAAATCTGAGTGTATATTGAAAAGCACTATGTAACCTATTTCTTTTTAATGAAAAAAAATTTTTAAAACTCACATAAGAGGTTGGAATTTGAAATTTCAGTCCTTTCTCTCTGACACATGGCTAAGAGAGGCAAGGTGTATACAACTCTAGGACACAGTTATTTATATATAAATTTATACATATAAATACATTTATATACACACAGATATATACATATGGAAAGAAGCATGACATAGTAGCAGTATCTTTCCCAAAAAGGACCAGCTTCCAGGTTCTGCAGTAGCAGATAACAATATGAAAGTTGTCATTGGAGAATTAAAGTGTTGCATAAATAATGATATTTCTTTACCTCACAAAGGACCACCTATGAGTAACTGGTATTTTTCAATGAATAGAGTGCCTATTTCTTTCAATGACAGTGGTGTTTGTTTTTAGGCAAATAGTGTAGAGAACAATTTTGTGTTGTTACATTATTTAAAATAAAATATTAAATAAGTATACCCAGACAAGTGTTAAAATAAGTACCATTATAAACAATTTTTTTTGTTCCAGTGCCTTAATGATTCTGTGATATTTCTCATTCAGGACACAGCTTTTTCAGTGGAAAGCAGAAGAAAATGCAATTGATTTTGCATTTATAAAAAAAAGAAATCTAGTTCAGTTTTAAGTTACAGGTCACAATTTTATATGCATCTATCTTGGCATATGAAGGTGTTTTTATTCATTTAATACATATTTGCTGAATGAATGAGTTTTATCTTTTTCTTAATACATGTTAAAAAAGGGAGACAAAAATACAAGACTGCCTTTATCAAAGGGATGTTTAATTTTTATCACCAAGTAATTAAAAAAATTCTAATAAATTTATTACATTTATAAGCAATATAAAGTCATTGCTCATTAACCAGATAGCGGTTTCATTTTTTCCTTTTGTGCTGTAATTATTAATTCACTCTTTTTCTTTTAGAGTAAATTCTTTTATTATTTTAACTAAAACGTGTGGGAAAATTGAATTATAAGTCATGCAGCTTTTGAAAAAAGAATTTTAAATTTAGTCAGGCAGTATTATTGCTCCTTGTTAATGTGGTGTTTTAGGATATTCAGTGAAATCAAAGTCTACAGATAAATGTTTCTATCCACTTGTAGAAAATCTTACAATATTATACACTAACATGATGGCCTTTTATTAAGGATTGGTAAGTGAGGGTTAACATTAACGATTTATTTTACAATATTATACACTAACATGATGGCCTTTTATTAAAGATTCATAAGTGAGGGTTAACATTAATTTTTTTGTTCTTGTTGTTTTGTTTTGAGAATAAAGCTAATGTGGCAACCTTGTAAAAAAAGTAGCTAAATATAATATGCATTCATTAACTCAGATACTTGAAATACCGATTAAAATACTGTTGAAGAATGTCAATCATTAGTTCAATTTCCTCTTGTTAGAGGCATATATAAAAATATCAGTTGATTATAACTTTATAGAGGTACTTCTTATTACACATGATTCATCATGATGACATTCAAAAGAGGGCAAGATTAAAGCAATTAGAGATTACTTTCAATGTCAGTCTTGAAAATAATTGTCTGATGGCTTTTATTTCCTTAGGTGTTTCCTAAGTGCCTTCTCGGCCCTGCTTCCCTTTTATGAAGTTTGCCTTTCACATTTCTAAAATCTAATCAGCATTCATGGGTCAGGTACACAGTTCCTGTGTGGAATAAATGAGATCACATATGGTAGTATTTTATAAAGTCGAAAATGTTATAAAGTATTTTCAGCACTATTTCTGTAATAATGCTTTAATAACAACTAAGTATTTTTATTCATTTTTAATTTCAAAAGTTGATACACAATTTCTTTATTTTCTTTTTTTAATTGGTATATAATTGACATACATTATATTACTTTCAGGTATATAACATAATAATTCAGTATTTGTATATATTGTGAAATTATCACCATGACAAATCTATCACCACACATACTTACTGAATTCTTTTTCTTGTGGTGAGTACATCTAAATTATATTCTCAGCAATTCTCAAAAATACATACAGCATTATTAACTATATTATCAAGCTGCGTATTATATTCCTATGACTTATTTCTTTACAGCTAGAAGTCGGTACCTCCTGACTACCTTCATTCATTTTGCCCTCCCTCCTCTCCCCTGTCTCTGAAAACCAATAATCCATTCTCTATATCAATGAGCTTGAGTTTTGATTTGTTTTGTTTTTTAGATTCTACATATTAGTGAGATCATATAGTATTTGTCTTTCTGTAATAATGCTCTAATACCAATTAAACATTGCAAGTTATCATTAATTACTTAATTCTTCATGAGGTACTGATTGACAAAAGTGTATTATTTTCCCCCTCTAGTTTTTACCTACGTAACATTTTAAAATCCTGAATATATAAAAGCTTTTGAAACTTAAATAAATGAATCCCCGAAGAAGGTCTCTCTGGGATTATGAAGACTGTGAACACATGGGCTCTGAAATCATGCAACATAGGCAGCAGCTCAACATATTTCCTTCAAGCTGCTGATGCATGTATTTCATATTTTCCAGTTGCCCATATTTTTAAAAGTCAATTTCCTGCTTATGTTTCTAATGAAACTTTAATTAAATATTTTTTATTTCTCACAAACATTTAGAACTCTTCAATATCTAACCATGTGAAATTTATTCTGTTTGACTTAAAGTGGTTGAAACCATTTAAATTTTTATTACTTTCCCAAGAATGTTTTCAATGTTTTCAGGGTGTATTAACCAAAGGCTTGAATGCTTGTCCTTAGAAATGATAAGAAGTCCTGTGTTCTTGTCTTTCAAAATGCCTGTTATTTGAGAAATCAACAAAAGATTGGCCTGTCAACAAGGACAAATGTTTTTTGTTTTTGTTTTATAAGTGTATGAAAAAAATTTTGCTCACGGTAGTTTAAGTGCAAAGTGAGTGAAAAATAAATCTATGGGGAGGTTGGGGTTGATTAAATGTACGTGGTATAATGTCCGAAACACAATATGACTCAGGTGAATGAATGAGTAAATGGATAGATAAATAAGTAAATGAATAGGGCCAGGGAGGACAGTGCAGTAATACGAATTTTTGTTAATGAGCACAATACAGAGATCTGTGGTCCCTATATTTTATTACCAGAGACAAGAAATTCTTTGTCTCTTCTTGTTGTTTTTCTCTGTCATTTCTTGCATTCCTCATTTAACCAACCCTATATATTTGTGTGTGTCTGTATATATGTGTATATATATATTCTTTATATATATACTCTGTGTGTGTATGTGTGTGTGTGCGCGTGTGTGTGTGTGTGTGTGTGTATGGCCCAAAGCATATAGTTTGCTATTTGTTGCTGTTGATTATGTAAAGGCTATATATGGTTTTTGCTTCCTTATTCATAAATATTTGCTTCCTTGTTCATAAATATATTCTTTTATTTTTAATGATTTTACACTATGACTTCAGCTTGTTCAATGGTAAAACATATTAACAGACAACATATTTAGATAGTTACTCCAAATATTGTTTAATATATGTGTTTCTTTGTTGCTTTTTGATAATTATCTCCAATTTCAAAATGTCAAACTCCTATTAAAGTAAGCCTTTTAAAACCATATATACAATACTTGAGTGTCATAAAGAGATGATGAAGCATCCAAAGCTCCATCAAAATTCTAAGATGAAACAAAATTGGGTTTGATTAATATTATTTATTTTTAATCTACAAATAGATTAGTACAGGAGTACATTAAATACAGTAATTTGTTAGGTAGTATAACACCCTCATTGTGGCCAATTTATTTCCTATGTTTTTGTCCAACCACCAAATGTAGCTAGTTAAGTTGAGATCACAATAAACCATGTTATGCTTTCAAGCAGTTAATTTTAGCTGTTTTTGTAGATATAGTCTACTAAAAAATTTAGAATATAAATTTTTGAACTATCACATGCCATTTGAAACATATTTAGTCTACTACTGAATGATACATACTCTCTTCACAAGAATTTAAGAATTTTTTATTTTATTTAAGATTCTATTTATTTAGTTTTAGAGAGAGGGGAAGGGAAGGAGAAAGAAGAGAGAAACATCAATGTGTGGTTGCCTCTTGTGCGCCCCCTACTGGGGGCCTGGCCCACAACGCAGACATCTGTCCTGACTGAGAATTGAACCAGCAACCTTTTGGTTCACAGGCTAGCAATCAATCCACTGAGCCACACCAGCCAGGGCAATAATTTTTTAAAAAATTTAAAGTAAACATACTACATTTGTCTACAGATATCTCTTTTTATCTTTTTTGTCAAATATTTTCTAGTTCACTTTAAATCACTCATAAAGTTCTAAATTCCAAACTAAATTTTAATTTAGCTTATTTGTTTTTGTTAATACTGAAGGGAAACTAAATGTTTCATTTATAAAGCTAAACAAATTAATATAATGATTATCACGAAGTTCACATCAATTGCTTTATAGTTTCTAAATTTTAGTATTTTCCCATTTATTCACAGTAATAAATCTAAAAACAATCGTTAAAATGCCAATAGGTAAAAAAATCCAAAAATATAAAGCAAGTTATTGTACATAACACCGTGAATGTAAAAGTGGCATTTTTCAAAGAAGACTGCAGCCATGAGCCCATTTTCTTCTTAGTGTAGTTGAATACCAAGTCCATTTTATAATGCTAAGAAAGCAGTGCTCATTTCTATTAGACAGAATAAAGACTATCTACTCTCTTTGTCAGATAAAGCCTTCCCTTGTGTCTCAAGAAGAGTCCAGTCTTTCTACAAGTGTTATGTGAATGCATGTGTGAGTGTGTGCTAAGTGTTTCAGGGAAAGGACTTCAGCATAGATGTGGATTAGATAGGAAAACACATTTTTCTTATCCTTCTCAGTGGAAGATGATGATGATGATTATCTTATAATGCTTGTGAGTTAAATGTTAGTTGAGTAAAAAATCAGAAATATCTCATTTTTTAAATTTCATGGGGGATACTCTGGTTTCTCTTCAGATCACATAAATCTTTTGCCTTTGACTAAAATTTCATGGAGAAAATAGAAAATAATCAAAATTAGTGACTGGAATTTTATAATAGTTTCAGAGTTCAGACTCAGACTCTTTCACTTCCAGGCTAGATTAATACATGCTGGGATTACAAATACAATTAGTTTTGTCACTTTGTTTGTTTTAGGGGTTTTTTTTTGCAGTAGAAACTATCCTTTTTGTTGTAGCAGTACAGATGATCTTTTAATATATGAAGAATGGTAAATATATTGCTGCATTTGAGTCATCCTAAAAATGTGGTGTTATGTGAAGTGGGGCATACAAAGCAGCAGTTTTTTTACTGGGAGTTTGTTCAGCTATTTCAAAGTCAAAATTTAGGATCTGAGGTTACCATTGGATACAATACATACACAGTTCATATACTCTATATGTTAAAAACCATATGTGTAATATATATTTTTAATATGTAAACTTATAAAATTAATCAGTTAAAACCATAATTTTGGGTCCTGTAAAATGGACTGTAATTACTGTAACAAAGTTAGATTTAAGTGGTTTGGCTGCCAGAGAACTTCTCTAAGAAGAGCTGTACAAACTATACCTGCTATCTATCAGATTACTGTAGAATATACACTCTTTAGTACAAATCCATTTTTCTGAACATCTGAATGATAACCACCTCTACAACTTGTCTACCTTCATCTATTCTCTTCAAATAAGTGATTATTGTGTTCATGAATTTTAAAAAATGTATTTTCAAATACATTCAGGGGAAAGCTATGAAGTCCCTTTATTTTGTGTTTGGAAGTGGGTGTACATTTAATCTTGCCTCAAACCTGAGCTAGAGAGATACTGTAATTCTGCCTCAAAATATGTCTAATAAATAATTATTCCAGTAATATGAAGGGACTTACTTAATATATTACAACATTGACTCTGCCATAATGCAAGTTCCTAATTATTTTCTTCTGTATAATGTGAACATGTCTCTTTATTGCTTTCAGCAACCTAGAGATTTAAGACCTAATCCCCAGAGGCCATTGTAAATTTATGTGGATATTTGTGCTGGAGTTTTATAAGAAAGGATATTGTCACACTCATCCTGAGAATGACTTTTTCTTGAGATGCCTAATTTTTCCTTATCATTGTGTTGATTATTAATGACCAGTACAAGTGTTTGCTTTAAAAGAGGACATTTTGGGAAGAAATAGAGTATGTGCTGTGCATGGATAAATAATGGTGTTAAACATTTATAGCTGATTGGAATCACATATAAAGGATATTTGAGGGCAGAATATTTGCATTTAATACATTACTATTTTATATAAGGATAAATGGGTACTTGGTAAAACATTCTCTTGTTTGTGGGGTTATCAAATGATAGCTTATATTGTAAATGATTATTTTACACTCTGTGTGGTGAAATGGTAAGACTATATCTCCTCCCTTGGATTTTTTTCCTTGCTATATCTTTTCATATTGATCAAATGCAACTCTATAGTTGAAATGTTAACTTTGAGCAGTGAAAATGAAGAGAGGCCTTATAATCCTACCAATGTTCTTGTAGGGAAAGTGCATTCCATATTGATAATTACTCATTTTAGTAACTAGAATAATATCCTAAAAATCTGAATGTATAGTATTATGAATCAGGAAGTAGCCATAGAGAACTATAAAGTATAGTAAAAGTCAATTGCCATTAACCGAAGAACTGGTAAGTTAAAAAAGAAAAATCTAGATAAATCTTTGTTAAGAGGAATCTTACCAAGATTTCAGTGAGAATGTTTTAGGGTCTATTTCTTAAAAAATTAATTGTTTATGATACTGACATTTTATCCCCAGATGCTTTGCTGTCTAATGTTGACCAGATCGTCCAGGAAACACAGGTGAGATTCTTGTTACCTGTCGCATACTTCAACACTTTAGATGGTATATTCTTTCATAAGTGAATTTTTAATTTTTGTTTTGCTAGTTTATGTAACACTGAAATTTTTAATTAAAACTTAATTTTAAGAGTAAAGAATGAAGTTCAGTAGAGTTTAAGTTAATTTCCAATTCCTAAATTAAGACGTATTTCTGGTTAAGTGAACTTTTCTGATTTATATCGTAAGAACAAAAGAACACTGATATGGCTAGAGTCACTCTTGGAATCATACATAATCTAATATAATGTGCATTTAAAAAATATTTCCCAATGGGAAGAAAGTAGCTTAATAAGAATCTATTCACTCTATCCTTGACCTCCACATCCTAATATGAGTTTAGATGACACATTATATTTCATTGAAAGTGGTGGAGCAGAAGTGTTTCACTGTTATCTAAAATGAATGAAGCCACTATAAAATGAAGCAAAAGACACCCCATTAAATATTCATGGTGTTCCTTTTGTCAGCAACAAATTACTCTTCTTAGTGTTCTTTTTTTTTTTTTTTAGTTTCAAATGCGTATTTGATTCCTGCATTTTAATTGGATCAGAAAGTATGTTTCTAGAGCAAAATAACACTTTAGCAATCTGTTCAAACAGCTGGAATCATCAGCCATTTGCTTAAAGTTTGGCACAGGAAAAAATATCCTGCTTTTTAAAAGTTCTATAAAAGGTCATTGATTTATTTTTTGGTAGTAAAAATAAGATTTTTTTTACATTTTGTGTTTAAAAGAAAACAGGACTTGGACAATCATTCACAGTTTGTGAATGTAACTGTAACTGTAAATGGAATTTAGTAAATTCCATTCTTATGTTGCAAAAAAAAAAAAAAACCGCTCAGGAAAATATTATGCTAGGTGAAATATCCCAGTCGATGAAAGAAAAATACCATAAGATCTCACCTATAAGAGGAATCTAATGAACAAAATAAAACCACAGGCATGGGAAAACATGGAACAGACTGAAAGTGACCAGAGGGGAGGGGTACAGAAGATAATAGTGGAAAGAAAGGGAAGGGACTAGATGAGTAAGATGCATGAATGACCCATGGACATGGACAACCGTGTAGGAATTGTTTGGGGAGGGTGTGGGATCAGCAGAGGACGGCAAAGGAGGAAAAATCAGGACAACTGTAATTGAATAACAATAAAAATGATTTAAAAAGAGAGAGATGGCTCACAGGAAGCAATCAATACCACATGGGTCTAGCACATACTTTGTATTCTGTTTTATTTACTGAACCAACCTGAATGAAGGTACGTGGTATCATCACCACATTGTTTTTCTTTCTGAATTTTAACCCCTCTCTGTCTCCCTTCTTCCCTCCATCCTTCCTTTCCTCTCTTTCTTTGATTTTAAAAAGTTCATTTATCATATAACTTTGGATATCTAGCTGTCCTGAAAGTTAGGATATCTTTAGAAAAGCAAAGGAAGTAAAGGGTTAATTTATCAGAAGCACAGTCCAGATGCTAATATGATGCTAAATATTCTGTCATGACTGAAAGCAGGAAAGTCAATCTGAATCATTTTTCAATTACCAATTAAAATAATTTCTCAAACTTTCACATTTCATGGGACATGTTACGTATTATGGGATTTATTTATTTATTTATTTATTCATTCATTTTTTGACCACATTGTTAGAAGTCAAATTTACAGAAGAGTAACCTCCTTGGGAGTTTGTGTGCTACCCAAGATGGCGCAGGGTTTGCCAAAGTGACAAGTATGTAAGATTTTCATTAGTGACTCCCTTTGTCCTAAAGTGACTAGTATTAATTACAGAAACTTCAAAAAGTATAATTAAAAATAAAAAAGTAAATATAAATCCATCATAACCCAACACATAGACACAGATACTAATAATCTGGTATATGATCTTTTTGTGATTCATCATTTATACATGTAGTAAATTCACGTATATATATGTGTATTTTGAACTAAATTTACATCGTGAAAGTGTGTATGTGAAATATATCACCTTTAAAAATAATTTTGTTAGGTCTCTCTTTCGTCCCTTTTATGAAACAATGACTATGTCATCATGTCATGAAAAATTTCCTTCCATGTTCTGGTTAATTCTTTTTGTTCTCTATAAGACTTTGCAAGAAAAATAAATTCACAGGCAAAGAATAATTTTAACAAAGTTTAGTGGCAATACATCATTCACTTGTTACATAATTCCTTACAACATTTCTATGATCAGATATAAGTCACCATAGGACCTCAGAATAACTACTCTTGCTACTTAGTAAATGATTTCTGGTATAGCGGGCCTATCGTTTCTACAACTGTCAGCTCAACCAGACAGTTTCCTCTGCGGAGGCTGTGACCTGTGTGCTCTGAGTCTCCTCATGGCCTTTCACATGTCAGCAGTACTTTGCTGTGAGTGACATGGTGAGGAAGATAGCTGGCTGGGATTCCTCTGCTCATAGCTGCTCTACTCTTTTTAGGAGGGGGGATATGAAAGTTAATATTAAGTTTATATTTTCTTCATCATGGTAACATATGTCTTTTCCTACCCAGAAACAAATACGTTTTCCAAAAATGTGGACACCACCCATTGCATTAAATTTAAATTAAAATGTCCTCTGTATATAGATGGTAAAAGTAAACAAAAAAGCCACATATTCTTTTTTTAATGTATAAAAGTGCTTCTAAGGCAACAGTATTAAATTGATTTTACCACAGTCCTTAACTGAACATCAAGCTCTATTAGGGAGGTACAGAGAGGGCAGAAAGATTTCATCCACCTGAGGTGTTCAGGTGTTCGTTTTCTTTTTCTCTTTTCTTTCTTTCTTTTTTTTTATTAATGGGCTATTCAAACATAACAAGGTCTTGGATTTCTGAAAGTCTCCATATAGTTTTATTTCTATTTATAAAATCACTCATCTCTTTCTTTTTTTTCTTTACTATCTTTCAAAATGCATTAAATAATAACCTAGGCATACTAATAACACTTTGTTTTTCACATACTTCCCCCTAGAAATGTGAATTCTTTGAGTATATGATCTTTTCTTTTTTACATTTTTATTTTTATTTTTTAAATTTATAAATCATGTTTAATCTATTACAGTTGTCTCAGTTTTTCCCCCTTTATCCCCCTCCAACCATCCCACTCCCACTCCCGCTCCTACAGTCAATTCCCACTCTGTTATCCATGTCCATAGGTCATCATAGATGTTATCTAGTCCCTTCCCCTTCTTTCCACCATTGTCCCCTTTCCCCATCCCCTCTGTTCACTTTCAGTCTGCTCTATGTTTCCATGACAGTGGTTTATTTTGTTTGTTAGTTTATTTTGTTGAATAGAGCCCACTTATAGGTGAGATCATATGGTAATTGTCTTTCATCAACTGGGTTATTTCACTAAACTTAATATTCTCCACTTCCATCCATGTGGTCACAAAAGGTAGGAATTCCATCTCTTTCCTTCTTTCTTTCTTTCTTTCTTTCTTTCTTTCTTTCTTTCTTTCTTTCTTTCTTTCTTTCTTCTTTCTTTCTTCCTTTCTTTCTTTCTTTCCTTCTTTCTTACTTTCTTTCTTTCCTCTCTTTCTTTCCTTCCCTTCTTCCATCCTTCCTTCTTTTTTCTTTTCTTTCTTTCTTTCTTTTTCTTCTTTCTTTCTTAAATGCAGATTGATTTTATTTTTTTAAATGTCAACGTTAATTATAAAATATTTAAAAATTTAAAACCATTATAAAGTCTCAGCAATTAAACCAACATGACCCCAGCACAGAAATAATCAATTAGATCAATGAAATATAATGAGCATTCTAGAGACAAAGGTATGTATCTGTCTAACAATATATTATATGATTAAGTTGATATTTCAAAACAATGGGGAAAATAAGGCTTATTCAACAAATAAGGTGCATGTACCACTATTACTTGAAATAAAACAAATATAGAGCCCTATTTCACACATAAGACAAGAAATATTCAGGTGAGTTAAAAATCAATATGTAGAATCTATGGAGTTTTAGAAGAAAACAAAACTAATATTTTTCATGACCTGATGTAAAATATTCAACCCCAGAAGCTATAAAGTAAATATTGACAATATGACTATATTAAACATTTAAGACTATATAGTAATATACATATAAAAAAAGTTAAAGGACAAGGAATAGAATAGGAAAGTATTTGCAACACATCTAAAATATGGTTAATAGGGGGTTTTTTGTTTGTTTTTTTTTTAGGGAAAAAAGTTCTACAAACCTTTAGTCAATAAATGAATAAAGAATACCAAAAAATTATTTAAAGCTTTTTTAAAAATAATAGAAATAGGCATGAAATATACAAAAACAGGTTTAGTTTCAACAAATAGTAAAGGAGCAATTAAAATCACATCATTGTCACAATCAGATTAATGAGTATTAAAAATATTGGTAATAACAAGTATTGACAACACTGAAAGGAACTAGGTATTGATAGAAACTTTTTCCTCATCTTAAACCAGTCTCTTTAGAATATTTTGCAGTGCTGGTTTGCTGGAGGTGTATTCTTTTAGCCTTCTTTTGTCTGGGAAACTCCTTATTTTGCCTTCCATTTTAATTGAAAGCCTTGCTAGGTAGAGCAGTCTTGGTTGCAGACCTTGGCTTTTCATTACTTGGAATATTTCTTCCCACTCCCTTCTGGCTTGTAGTGTTTCTGTTGAGAAGACATATGCTGGCCGTATAGGGCTCTCTTACATGTTATTACCTCTTTCTCCCTTGCTTGTTTTAGGATTCTCTGTTTGTCTTTGATATTTGCCATTTTAATGATGATGTGTCTTGGAGTGAGCCTCATTGGGTTCCTCTTGAATGGGACCCTCTGTGCTTCCTGGACTTGTGTGACTTTTCCTCTCCTCCAATTAGGGAAGTTTTCCATCATTACTTTTTCAAACAGGTTCTCTATCCCTTCTTCATCCTCTTCTCCTTCAGGTATCCCTATTATACAGATATTATTACATTTCAGGTTGTCCTGCA